AGTAAGTGGTACATGTCAAAGTTGCATCCAGATGAATGCTAAGATCCAGGGTTTCCCTGCAGAACATTGCATTGTAATGAGATGATTCTTCTCATTCACTTCACCTGTCAGTGGTTTGAATGTTGTGGCTGGTCGATGTATATTCATGTTGCGTGCATCTACATTGGACTTGCAGCTGATTCTTACCAAGCTTGTCACACCAGGCTAATGAAGGTGACCCTGTTCTTAAGCCTGGCACAAAATCTGCATGGTCACCATGGTAACTTACCAGGGTCAATCCAGGTCAGTAGAGTACCTAAAGTGGCTGTAATAGGTTAATCCCTTGAGATGGGGTAACAGTACACCGCCTGTAGAGTGTAAGTTACACACTTGCTGCGTTTTTAAAAAATTCTTACTTTTGCTGTTTTTGTTTTCCCTGTTTGAAGCTAACAGCCCTTTAAACACAATATTTTTGTGTAATGTGTTTTAAATGTTTGTGAAAACCCATTGAAGCCAATATAGTATTAACGTAGTCACATAATCAAAATGAATTTCATTTCCCTTCAGTCATCCAGGCCGACATAGCTCCTCTCTGTGTGATAGACGGTGTTATTTTGTTTTGTTTTCCCCTATCCAGTTAGTTATGAGTAATTTACTTTTTCCACTGACATCATTTTCATTTGACATATTTTGGTTGTGGTGGTGGTTGCTAGGAGCCATTAATGGTTTTCAAGATGATTGGAGATATATTTTGCTTTAAAGGGTAATTCTGGTATATTCAGCAGGGTATAGTTCCCATTGATGTGGCTATTGTAGCTCTGTGGGTCCGGCTAACTGCGAGAGAGTCATGAATACAGTGGGTTGCACAACATGGCTGTGAAGTTTGAAACAGGCAGGGAAATCCAGTCTCAAATGATCACCCAAAACAACACAACATTTGACAGTGACTTTAATGTCTCATGTATCTGGAATCTGGAAATGCAGTGCAAAGTGTACACAGGGCCAGTATGAGTCAGCTCTTTACCGGAAGGTTTCAGTTCTTGCTATCATGACGTGTGGACCCTCCTTCTTTTCACCGAGCTTTGTGGAGCTGACAGAGTTGGCTTCTGACCATGGAGCGTGTCTGTTTAATGCCAGCGTCCTGCTGTCTGAACCATGGCAGGCCACTGAGAAACTGGACATTTCACTGCCTCTCTGCTCCCATTCCACAGCACATGCTTTTCCCATGATCCCGATGTTGAGTCAGTCTGTCTTTATTACAACAGTTACCAGGATATTTGGGCAGAAATGCCTCCTGGGGGGAAAAAAAGAGTGGGATAAGGCTGCTAGAGACATTTCGGAGAGGTGGACTAAGGTAGTGTATCGTTATGTTTTTGTACTTGAGTGCACCAAATATGGGCAAGCTTTGTATTAATGCTTGTGTTTAAGTTAAGTTAGGTAAAGGTTAGGGAAGGATATTAATCACTGCAATGTGAACACCAGCATCATATTCCCATTGTGTGTGAACATACGCTGCACAGCAAATACTTTCATTTTTGCAGTAGGAATAACTTCAAAACCATTACTTCCTTTTTACACCAAAACTGGAGATCCCACAGTTTTGGATACAGAGACAGACAACCTCTCCATCCCCCAGAAGCAGCCCCACACACACACACACACACACCCACACACACATTACTGTTCCCACCCCCACCTATTGTTCAGACAGCTCCCCTCCAGCTATGGGACAGTGAATACTGGGAGAAATCAGGCTTCAGTGCTTCTGTACAGTACCTAGCCATGCTCACATTTACTGTATGTATTTGCACACACATACGATGACAAATTCACACACATTGGACCACACGGCTGTGTTTATTAAGGTCATGAGAAATGGTCGTGATAATGAAACACTTGCTTTCTTTGTTCACTCTTACATTAATATGTGGTGAAGTAATGAAGTATGCGTCCTTTCTGCTTTATTAAACACGTAGTCAGACCCCATTTCCCTTTATTTACTGCTGCCTCTTTTATTATTCTTTTCATGTGTAGTTATTAGTTCTTACTGATTGTACATTAGTTATTTGTTTATTTTGAGCTTGAGTTAAAAAAAAAAAATCTTACGACCAGCCCTAAGTTAAAGCTTAAAGAGTCCTGCAAAAATCTTGATAGACTAGGACCATAAAATATAGGATGCTAAAAAATGATATAATGGGGGAAAAAAACGATGCAAACTCAGTGTGACAATAAATATGTAAGCAATGAAGCTGCAATCTTCCATATCAATGAATGATGCTCAGTGGCCTATTTCCTATTATATATCCATCTGAACTGTCTAATAGCCAGAGTTATAGATTTTCTCACATTTTTTTTCTTCAAATTCCAAAATAAAAGTCCTCTTTGGAAGCGCTAACAAAGAGGGGAACTACCTCCTCCTCCAGTCCCGCTGCTTCCAACAGCAATCAATAAACAGCCATTGGGCTGTCTGCCATTGACAGACGTCTGTCTCATCCTGCTGCCAGTGAAAGCTCAGTGCTAATGGTGCTTTTTGGAACCATTGCAGCTCTATAGGCATTCCATTGATGTTTTATTGTGTCTGCTGCATGTTCACTTTCTTTTGTCCCACATACTTCCATAAGCAGTTAAATGACACAGATATTTGTGCAGACAAGAGGTTATGTTAATGACAGGGGTCGATACCGAGCGCACCCAGTAATACAGTCATTAGGAGAGGGGGAGGTTTGGGAAGAAAAGGCAATGCTTGAAGGTTTGAAAATTGTTGAGGGAGAAAGAAAGGGAAATAACACCAGAGAAAGATGGTGTTTAGAATCAATCCAATGCAAATTACTTTTGAATAACTTTCCTGTATAACTTCTCTCAGAACATGTTATCCTCAAGAAAGTAAGATCATAATTGCTCACTGTGAAAGATTCAGAACAAGTCAAGTTGATGTGTACCTCAGAATGCTGTGCCTCTGCTAGCTGCTATTAGCCAGTAAGCTTTTTTTTTTTTTTTTTTTCTCTGCTAGCTGCTATTAGCCAGTAAGCTTTTTTTTTTTTTTTAAAGATTACTTTTTGGGCATATTTGCCATATTGAATAGACAGTCAACTCAGACAGGAAATATGGGGAAAGACAGCAGGGGAGTGACATGAAGTAAAGGTCCAGCTGGCCAGGAATCGAAACAGGGACTCACTCCTCAGGGCATTTGAATCAGGGCACCTCTCCCAAGCTTTTTTAACCTGTCCAGCAGTTTTATATGAATACAGGTTAGCATGCCACTCCAAATCCATGGGACTGGATACATGTGTGTTAACCTTTGTAAGTGCAGGTGGAGTCAATAAAATGTTATATCATTGTCTTTTACAGAAAGGAATTTAAAAAAAAAAAAAAGAAGAAGAAGAAGTAACAAACAGAACAAATTATAGAGGAACTGTGGACTATAACTTTGTCTTAAGTGATTATTGGTATGTTTTTTTGTGCTTTTAGGGCATCCTGTAGGTCATATAGTTAAAAAACAACAACAAAACTAAACTTTAAACCACTACTAACAGTAGCTAGCATTTTTTAAAATCGGTCATTAATCAGATGTTTATTTAATTAGTCTGGTAGTCTATAAAATGTCATTAATAAAATGGCTTTCATAATTTCCCAAGAGTCAAGCATAACATTTACAATCCAAAGGGGTGACTTCACTTGTGGAAAGACAAAAAAAAGGTTGTGGAACTGTACATCAGGGCCACGGTGGCATTGGGAATATTTATTTTAATTGGACAAGTGAATTGATTGGTGTTCATGCCTTCTTCAAGGAGAATGAGAATGGCCCACATATACATAGTAACTCTGGAAAGAGAAAGCAGGAATCTGCCAATGGCTGCTATTTTGGGAAATGCTCACCCATTTTGGTCAAAAGTGGACGAGAGCTGGCCCCGCCAAGGTTCTGTCACAGCAGTGTGGGTTCCCTGCTTGAAGCTGGTGTTTAATTTTAGGCTGGTGTTTTTGGAAGGTAGTGTGGATGCTGTCAAATGGCACAGGGATGCATGAAACACCAGACCGTAGTATGACTTTGACTGATGTCACTGAGTTTGTTATCTCTGTTTGGGTTTGGAGACTCTCTCTTTTTGAGCCTTTCTTCAAGTATCTCTGGCTCCAAACCAGCATGTTTCTAATCTGGAGTTACTGATCTCAACAACCTGCTCAGTGTTCAGTGTTTGTTGTTTATCGAATGTTCATCTTTCCTCTCCTTCCTCCTGTTAAAAGGGAGTTTTTCCTCCCTGTTGTTGCTGAGTGCTTGCTCACTAAGAATTGTTGGGCTTTTCTCTCTAAAACTCTATGTGAAGTTCCATGAAATGACATATGTTGGGATTTTGTGCAACATAAATAAAATAATCTTAATAATTTAATAAAAAAAATACAAGAGAAAGCTTACATGACAGAACTAGGGGCAAGGGAATTGTGACAAAACATCCTATTGAATTATGAAAAGTATCAGATTCTGCTTGACCCCTAACTGGGCCTCTGCTGCCTTGATTTGGACCTTTTTATTATTTTATCTCTTTTAAATCCCCCTGCTTTGCTTTTCCTAAGGCCTTTTGTCTTTTCTATTTCTTGTCCTTAGCGTCAAACTTAAATTTCAAGAGCTAAAATTCTGTATATATTATTACATATTTTGGTAAAAGCCCTCATTTGTTGTCAGATTATTTTTATGGCATATTGCCATTATTAGACAGTAACAGAAAACATGTGGGGAGTGACATGACATGTGTTGCAAGTCGGGAAGTTACAGTGTCTGTATATAGCTTTCATTTCAAAGGTCTCATTTAGAAAATCATGTATTTAAAAAAAATGTATTCACCAGTTTGCCAATGTAGGTGTGACATAAAGCAGAACAAACATTGCATGTTTACTTAATCACATTAATTTAGTTCTTACTTTGTGTCAGCAGATGTCTTCATTTCCTTTGTGTGGTGTCAAAATAAATTCCAGAGAAATAATGGGTGTGACAGATGTGTCTAATGTTTAGTCATTTGTCTTCGTTTCAGATCTATCAAAGAATCGTCTGTGTGAGCTGCCGGAGGAGCTCTGTCAGTTCATCTCTCTGGAGACACTGAGCCTGTACCACAATGGGATGCGTTCACTGTCCCCCAACCTGGGCAACCTCCAGGCCCTCACCTACCTCAACCTCAGGTAACTCAGAAGCTCGTACAAACTACTGGACAGTAAAACATGCTCACCACTTGTGAGTGATAACTGTCTGCTCCCAGCCCACCTTGGCAGGTTTTCAACCTTCATATGGAGTCAAAAGTACATAAAAAAAAAAAAAAAAAAAATATCTAGCCTCAAACCAAACCATGGGTGTTTTCAAGGTCCTGAAGACTTTTAAATGACTCAAGTCAATGAGATCCATCAATTTAATCTTTAAAATGCCACTGAAGTTTCTGCTGCATATTTTTATGTATTTAATTAAGCATCTAATTCTTTTTTTTAAACCCTGAAGTTACATATCACAGTAACAATATATGTTCAATCCAGGATTCGCAGCTGCTTTCAAACTTGTCTTGTCTAAAGGTGTGAACATTAATTTCTCCAATACAAAAAAAAATCATGAATCACCTTAAATGAATCCTCAGTGGTAAGATTTTTTTAAATAAAATTCTCCTTAGTTATAAGTGGTCCTTCATGCATTTAGGAAAATATGAAACATCTTATATCGTGATATTGTTTATTTTAGAATATTTTTGTTACAACTTGGTCTATTTGTGCTCCTCCATTAATAAATAAATGCAGTCTTTTTGGCTGTTTGTGGCTTCACATGCCCGTTGATAAATCTCATCTGTTTCACTTTAGACGTTTTCTCTCTCTGTGAGCAAAAAACAAATATGAAGCAAAAGAGAAACTTAATTTGGTTTGTAGTTCATTGTGGTTACTTAAAATAAAAAAATAAAAAAACAATCAATAGATATCTCAGATTTGATGTTCTGTTGGTTGATTGGCTGAAGGGTGTTGTTTTGAATACTGATGCGTCTTAGTTAAAAAATTTTCTTAAGTGTATCTTAACACCAGCTGCTCCAAGATAAGGGTGAAAATAACAGAAATGACTCATAACAATAATAAGTTCTGATATTTATTATGTGGAATTTTGTTCACGGCTCTGTGGAATGCCATCCTCACACTGCACTGACAGCTCCCTCTGACATTTGGATCTAACAGAAAGCTTCATTAGAGCAAGCGTTATACAGCCCTTTGCATCCATTTCCCAGTGTGCAGTGCACCACGCCTCCAAGGAACACCCACTGTTTGAACGCCGCCTTTAAACTTCAGTGTTTGTTCTTGCTGGAGATGAAGACGAGAGGCCGTCCAAAACCTTTTCAAACCTTCTTACACCAACAGAACCTCAGTGACACTCTTCGCTCCTCCACACTATCATTTTACTGTTGCTAGGAAACCGGAAAAACCTTCCGAGTGGCTGGTAATACAGGCAGCAAAGGTGTAGGCTCGAAACATATACGCTGTATGGCTGAAAATAACTGTGTAGCTGCTCAGTGTCATAGGCTAGCTAATTAATGGCCTAATTAGGCTGTAATATATAAAACTTGTTTTTAGTTCTGTTGCCTGACGAGATTCTTTTTCTGTGTTTGTGTGTGTTTGTTCCCCCAGTCGTAATCTCCTGTCCAGTTTACCCCCATCAGTGTTTCAGCTTCCCCTCCTGCGAGTGCTCATCGTCAGCAACAACAAGCTTTCTTCACTGCCTGCCTCCATATACTCGCTCACACACCTCCGGCAACTGGTACGGGACACACACACACACACACCACACACACACACACACTCTTATCAAAAGTATCTTTCTGTGCTCAGGAAGTGATAGAGAGGCAAAATGTAAAACTGTCAAACTTACACCACACATCACTTTCATGACCCTGTGAATCATAGTCAGAACTCCATAGCGGTAACTGAACCATTTGTGTCACATTGTTAGATTATACTAATCTTCTCCAGTCAGTTTCAGATCACTGATTTGGGTTCATTGTGTTCTTTCTTTGTCAGGATGTAAGCTGTAATGAGCTGCAGCGCTTGCCAGGAGAGCTTGGTCAGCTAGAGTGTCTGAGAGACTTAAATCTGAGGAGGAACCAGCTCACCAATTTGCCTGAAGGTACAGCCACACTTGATCTTTGACCTCTTCGTAATATTCTTCTCCTCAAATAACCCCTGTGTGACCACCTCTGCTCGTATTACCTCCATCTAGCACATTTAAGCGAACTTTGAACCCAGCGAACCCCAGAAAGTCCAGTAATGTTTTTGTCGGGACCTCATGAAGTGATTCAATTTTTAAAACATTTCATAAAGCCTGTAATGTATAATTGTAGCTTTCCCATCAAAGCGTTTCTCTGTCGAAACCCTCTCCAAGTTAGATGCTAATTACATCATTAATGTGAGCTATTGATTGTTTACAAGTCGAATAGGTATTGAACTGCTTCTGACTTTGTGCAAGCCTAATGGATCTTATGCCATTAGTGCTGCATTCTTGAGCTCATTCAGAGGAAATAAAAATAAACATACTTCCTAAAATTAAGAGTGGACAGTAGTAGTTAGTAGTTGGTTCTACTTGTGTGCAAATTATGACGTGAGTGTTGGCGAATTTACCACCAAAACTTAGATCTTAAACAGAAATGGGTTGTTGCTTATTATTTACACCTACTGCACTTACCACCCCAGTGATAGTTGACCTTTTTAAAGTCAAGAATATGTGGTGACATAGGACAAGGTTGTCATATTGGCCTTAACATTCGATTGAAATGCTGTTTAATACAAAACCCAGTGTTCAGGCTGCTCTGTAATTTAAAAAAAAAAATAGGGAGGATTCAAATAATCTCTGCTGTAACAGCTCAAATAATAAATTGGCCACAGGCTCATTTCATGCAGTTACAGAAATAAGTGGGAAGGTTGAAATTGGAGCTTCACAAATGGAAAGAGTTAAAAATTCATCTGTACTGAGGAGAGTTGAGTGAAAGTGACAAACTGACCTTAAAGTGAACTGTTCCCAGTTCAAAAGAAGCAGAAAGTTATCTTCAAGTATAAGCCTTGAAAGGAGATGACAGTCAGTTTAAGTGTTTTATGTTCCCTACTTTAACAAATTAGCACTAACATCTAAAACTTTCCCTCTTTGCGTCCCACCCAGAAATATCCGAGCTGCCCCTTGTACGGCTCGATGTGTCCTGCAACCGAATTTCCCACGTGCCCTTGTGCTACCGACACCTCCGGCATCTGCAGAGCATCTTGCTGGACAACAACCCGCTGCAGATGCCGCCTGCGCAGATCTGCTCCAAGGGCAAATACCACATCTTCAAGTACCTCAACATGGAGGCCTGTAAGAGGAGCCAGGAGGAGCTGGAGAAACACCTGAGGCCGACGGGATTCAACAGCTGGTGAGGAAGCCGGGGATGAAGATGTTTAAAAATATCTAGTTTACAGAAGTATAGCACAATTCTTCAGACGTGGGTTTCAGCTCAGATGTTAAAAATAAAAAAAATCATCAACAGTGTGTGTGAAATTTAGAGCTGGAGTCAGGACGTGGTCAGCCTAGCTTAGCAAAAAGACTGGATGCAGGGTGAAGCAGCTCGCCTGGCTCCCTCCAAAGCTCAAAAATGTGTCTAGCAACAGCTGTAGAGCTGGAACAGTTCTTTTTTAGAAAACATTCTGATACAGAGACTGTGTGCATCTTCATGTCATCACAGTCAGGTTGACAGGCTTCATACCATCGTGTATGTACAGGAACAAAAACTAAAACCTGTGCACCATCATCAATAGCAGTAGAAGCAAAAGATTCTATTGTGCTTTTATCAGAATGAATAAAATGTGATGGTCCTACATAAGTGACAGGAGGTACCATGTACTAATAGAGCAGCTTATTATTAAAGAGGATAGTGGTAATAAGATTTTTTTTTCAGAACCTTATGCACTCACTGTCACACCAAAATAGGAATAATGTGAACATAAGTTGAGAGGATAAATGGAAAGCGGGACAATAATTGATGACAGTGAAAGGGTACAGTAACTAAACGGAAGGAGGGCTTATCAAATATTTATAAACTAAAATGGACCCTTTTAGCTGCCTAGTGAGCCATTTCCTTGGAACAGACACTGTAAGACCAAGGACAGACACAAGAGAGAATATTTGACAGAGTAGCCCTGAGTCTGATGTTGGGAATGTGATGCAATACTGTAGTAGAGAAGAAAAACATGAGTCACTGCCCTTTAGACTGATAACTCCCCGTTTAACAGTTTGCCAACGTCGCTGGTGTTTGTTTATTGTGTGTGTGTGAACTGGTCCTGATGGGTGCTCTACATGTTTTCTCTGCAGCCTGTCGGACCAGGAGCTGTTCACAGGTCAGTTTGGAGGGCTGGACTCTGGCTTCAACAGTGTGGACAGTGGCAGCAAAAGATGGTCTGGAAATGAGGTAAAGCTACTGGACACATAGTCACTTGATTGTGTGACCAGACTGACTACATTCCATGTGGAACAAACAAGCATGTTTGAAAATGCACTCTTGCCACAAATCTGCAAAATACCCTGAACTTAGCATATGCAGCCAAAATATGACAATATGAACAAAACAGTGCTTTATAAGTGTGAAAAGGTGTCTATATTGTGGGTGAAAAGAAGGAAAATAAGCAGCAAATACAGATGAAGGCTAACCTCCACTATACCCAGGGGTCTACAGTGTAAACTATTGACCACAGATCAATGACCCAGTGGCTGTGTGTCATGTGTTCAGTCAGCAGATGACTTCTCAGAGCGTTCCCTCCGTATGGCTGAGGTCAGCAGGGACCAGAGGAACCTTGAGGAGGAAGAAGAGGAAAATGGATCTCCTCTGGAAGCTAAAAAAGGTGAGCAAGGACACGTCGGCAGTTTTTTCATGATGTCAAGCATACGAAACCAACAAACATGTGGTAAAGGTAGGCTTCTACGATAAAACCACAGTGGCGGCAAGTGACTCATCACCAGTAGCAATAAGAAGATTGTTCCATGCATCAGATGGAAACCGCTATTCAAGATCATAACGGATACACAAAGTTCGGTTGCATGAACAAACACAAAGCATGCTCCCTGCATGACTTCTTTCGCCCTCCTTCGCTCTCCTGTAGCCTAAACAACCATGTCCCTTCCACCACCTCCAATTCATAAGCGATTCATTTGCAGCAGAGGGCTGGTGGGCTTGAAGTTGTGGAGGCTGATAGGGAGTCGCTGTCTGATGACGGCTGGTTCTGGTTTGATCCATAACCTCAGTGCAGTGCCCCAGCTTCACACTGGTTGCCTTCCGTGTGCCTGAAGGTTTTAAGTGTCTTTATTTAATGTGTATCAATACGAGGTAATTTCCTAATCCCTATTTATACTTATTTATGTGGATTATTTATTTATTTTCATTGCTGTATTAACATTAAAATTGTTACCTGTGTGCCTCGATAAACAGGCTGTAGTTGTTGAATTCCAATTAAACCTATTTATTTATAATTTACTACTTCAGTGTCAACTGAGATGAAACATTTATCGTGATCTATTTTTATTTTTTTCTGACTCTGTTGCACTCTTTACAGTCAATGGAGAGGCTGAACAGGTGGACTTCATCGACAGCAGTGTGACAGAAGAAGAGGAGGACGGGCTCAGGATGGATGCACCTACACCTCCTCTCACAGCACCTTCTCTGGTACCCGTCATCCACACACGGATCAGCAGCCGTCGTTGCTCAGCATCTTGTTAAACATGTTATGTCCCATCTAATATGCCTCAGAGCAGGAAAGTTATTGATTTTGTCATTGATTTTCAGGAGCAGAAGGAGGGATCTTCACCGTCCCAAACCTCCCAGGACTCAACAACATGCAGGTAGGTTGTGTTAAACATAATGGTAAAGCTTTGCACGGACTTCTGGTTTATAGCACAACACTGTACAATACTAGCTGCAAACACAGAACAGGAATGTCACTTTAAACTGCAAAATAGAACCATCAGGCTCAATAGAGGGATATTTATTCACATGCAAAACAGGGAGAAGTGCTAAAGAGTAACTTAGTTTCAAACATAAACCAAAAATAGTCATTCTAGAAATGACTTTTTGAGCCTGAAAGTGGAAGCGATCACTACTCCTCAAGAGCTAGTGGACATGGATTGGAGAGTTTCTAGTGACAGCAGATGGTGGAAGGAATAAAAAGGTGACTGAAAGCCATCACTGCCAGTTCGTTAATCAGCTTTAGGGAGGGGAGGGAAGGAGGGATGAGAAGCAAAAAAGGTTTGTAGGAAATCAGGTCTCAGATTTCCATTAACACTATTGGCAGTGGACTCTAGGCCTGACCTCTCCCAAGGTCTCATTTGTTTACAGGATTTGTGCCATTTACATATCACCCTTAATTCTCTTTAGCCCGTTTCTGTGACAGTCTTCTGTTTTAATTGAGCAATGTGTTGGTTTCCCTGAATGGAGACTGTGTACTCGACACTCCAAGTGCCACAGTCAAAGTTTTATCACTGTTTCTGGCTTTTCCTTCCGTGTTTTACAAGGTCACTTACAGGGTATTTGAAGAGCTGGGAAAAGTCAATAGACTGCAGTTCCCATTACTTACAGTCAGTCACTCACTGGGCCTCAAACTCTGTAGCTTTTGGTAGCTGTTATCTTGGAACGTTAACAGTGCAGACTCGCTGACTCTGTCCGTCTTTATGGGTGAAAAACTAAAGAATTGCTGCATTTTGAATTCTATGCGTCTGCAGAGCCCTGTTACTTTGTGGCTCGGGTCAAAGTTTCCTTTATTAAGATTGTGTAAGACGGTGTAATACCCAAAATGTATTTTAGTGTCAGCAGCAGCAGCCACATTCACGCCCCTGTTTGTGTAGAAGCCCAGCAGGCAGCTTTTATCATGCTGCCCTGTTGTTCCATATCCAAGATAACTACATTGTTGAGGTTCGGTGTCCCAGCAGCCCCATTGGCTACACATGAATATGTGACACAGAGGCATTGTTCTCTCTGGTGCAACAAGCCGAATGATTTATTGTTCTAAATCTTTGAGTTTTATTAGCTGTGCTCAGACCACATTACTAACGTTCATTGAGTGCCCAGGCCCTCATTAAGCCTCATATACAATCCACGGTTTAATTTTGGTGACTGGACTGCCAGTGTGCTCCATCTGACTGAGGAAGGGTTGAGCACAGTTGTTGCTTGAACAAACGGATGTTCCAGATCTTGGCCTTCAGTGCTTCCTTTGGGACCTCCAAAAATAGAATGCAGAGACGAAACTGGGAAATTCAACACAGTTTTTTAATGGACGTTTGCATTTTAATAGATGAGCTTTCATTCGTTGTCTTTTTCATGTTATTTTATTTTAACCTTCCAACCTGAAGTGCTGTCAGACTTTTTTTTAAAGTTATTTAACACCCTTGGCTTTTGAAAACAGGACTTGATCTGCACAAAACTTAAATTGAATGGGCTGTTTGAGAGCCCGTTTCCCTGTCTGTTGAGATCGACAGGGATACTGTCACAATGAAGAATACATTGTCAGGCTTTGAGCTCTGTAGGCTTTGTGTCCAGTGATGTGTGACCTACTAGAACAGTTAAGTTCATTACAACTAGGCTGAGATAGCAAGGTACGAAAAGCTTGTGAAAAGGCTTTCATACATTAGGCTGAGACCTGGTAATTTTTTAAAGGTGTTTTGCTTTGTGGCCACAGTGATGCATGGATGCTGGCTGTGGTAACAGGTGAAACAGGCCGGAAACATTCAGATGTTCACATGCCAGATTGTGTTTCAGTCTGATGTTAAGTTACACTTTAACAAAAGGTCATCATACCCCACCTGCATAATTATCATGTTATACAGTCACATACCTGCTTTACCAATTTAATAGATCTGACCTCTATTTTTTTGCAGTTAAGAGTATGTGTAAAATCTTAACAGTTAGCTAAAAGTAACAAATAAGCAGCTGAAAGCAGTTTGTAAAAGCAAAAAGGCACTATAGATGTGCAGCCCATTTCCCATTCGGAATCGGATGGGAAGACTACAAGTGAGTCAATGCCTGAACACTGAAATGAAAGCTAAGTGGACAAATGGTTGAAACTATGAACTAAAAATTATGAATAAAGTTGAATTAGTGAGCTAATAGTGGTGGACTAAAGGTTAAAAAAGATAAAAGCGGTGGATAAACATTTTGAACATGAGAGGTGGCGTTGTTGAAGGGTTACCTGAGTTCATCTGTCAGCGCTGTGGGTGTATGTCAGAGAGAAGATGTGGAGAACCAGTGTGCAACAAGTTCAGAAAGTTTCTATCAAAGCACACTTATCTCGAATACCGACAGCGGAACTGGCAGTAATTGCGAGACCACTCTTGACCTTGGAAATAGTTTGACAAAGAAACCTGACTGAATCCATTTACAGCTGCAGCTTTTTCCGAGCTTTTAGCCTCGTCCTCAGGCCCGTGCACTCTTCTCATTAGGATGAGTACAAAATGTGCAACATAATACAGAATACAGACTCCACCTGCTGAGACGGGCTGTGAGATGTGAGTGTAATTTGCTTCAGCTTGGTTCTCTCTCTTTTCTCCTCATCTCACTCTTTAGATCCAGCCTCCACGTTGAGGTGGGCCCCCCATCGTCGGCCTCCTCGTCTCCCCTGTCGCCCTCCAGCCCCTCCCTGGAGGAGCGGAGGAGGCCTGGCACCCTGTTCATCTGGCAGGAGAGGGAACGGCTCCAGCAGCAGCAGAGAGAGAAGGCGAGGTAGGCAGAATATCATTAAATATGTAAATATTCTAAAGGCATGACAAGACATGACAAAGTTTCAGTCGTGCTCGGACATTTTACTTTGAAGGAAAGAATGACGGTTTCATACACTGTAGTTGACAGAGAAGGCCTCATTACTGAATGAATGGACTGGAACAGACATCACATGACATTACCAGCATGAATATCGCTGGAACACACAGTGTGTGTATAAGCTTTTGTCAGTTGTCATGTGTTTGGCAGCTTCTTCTCCTCTCATCCAGTAAGGACCAGCTCTCTGTCAGAGACTACTCCCTTCTGTCTCTCTCATATCTAATTATACGCTTCTCCATGTCAAAACTCGTAATTTTGCAGTTTGCTGAAGTCATCCACCAAAACAGGAAGTCATGTGGCCTCTGCACCACAGACGGGAAGTAGCTCATGGTAAGTAGGGCCTGTAGAACAGATAAACACACAGAGAGCAGCGGCAGCAGACACACATCTGTTTAAGTTCTGCTGTCTTCATTCACTCGTGCATTTCCTCAGTCCTTGTCAAAGTAGTATTGAAGGGAAGCTGGAGGGTGGGGAAAGAGGTTATTTTTTTGTAGTGACTGAACTGTGGTGTTTGTCTCCCCCTAGTGGTGCATCGCCAGAAAACAACAACTCCGGCCTGCGGCACCGATGTGCGGTGAGTATCCCTCTTCATGCCTTCAGCGAACAGAGCTGAGGAGAACGCAGAGTGGCTGGATTGTGTCTTTTCACTGGTGTAAATCAGGACTGTTTTGTTTCTAATAGAGCGCTGACCAGATGAGCACAGTGACCCCTTCAGTCCTTCTAAAGCGCTCCAGCAGCAGAACAGGTACAACACACACGGTCCACAAGCAGTTTATATCAGTGTAGCTCTTCATATTTATCAGTGCACATTATAGCCACATTACACGTTGGCAGGTGTACATGGGGGCAACTCAAATATAGTGTCAGTGTAGTTCTGAATCAGAGCCCACAAACAATAAACTGCAAGGAACCATGGGAGCAGCACATGAAAGACTCAGTATGCTTCAGAGGAACTAGTTTGTAAGTGTTTCAACTGGTTCTAAACCTGCTGTCATAGCCTCCCTCCCACTTATAGCATCCTACTGCGTCTCTGATCTCTCCCTGCAAATTTTCATTGTACAATTCTTCTTTCAGTCCCAACACGGTGAGTTGCACAAACGCAGTGCACACAGCAACTGTCAGAAGAATATTTAAAGACAGACAAGTTCAACCCTGTCTGCTTTCTATCTCTGCAGACTTGGCCTGGGTGGGTGCGATTGTCAAACTGTTCCAAAATTCACTTCACCAGTCAGATGAATGCAGCCGTTAGTTAAACTCACAGTAAAAACACCTAAAATGAAAATGCTGGTACCTTTCACTTTTCTTAGGGAAGGTAATACCTTCTGAGGTGTAGCCATGCGGAAAAAGCAATTCCAGAAAACATGACACAGAGCGGCATCTACTGGTGAATTTCATCTCCCTAACTTAGGTAGCTCATTAAGTGCCAACCAGTTGTATCCAAACTGAACACAGAATATAGAGCACGAGGATTACTCACCGCGGTATCTCAGAATAACAACAGAAGACTCAGGTTCCACAGCTCAGTGTTTCTTTAATAACATCTGAATTGATTCATGTTATTCTAAGTTTATTTAGAAATACCTCCAGTTACAACTAGTAAATTGAGTGTTATGGGTTATTTTAACACATTTGTGGCAATTTAACCAAAATCCTGAAATTCACATTTTCCGATAATCACAAACAATTAAAAACACAGTCTGACTCACTGGATGACTTCAGATTTAAGTCTGTGTCACAACTTGGATGGAGGCTGGACAGAGAGAGACCACACGAGTTGCAACTAAAAATAAGCGGAGCAAGTTTTGATGAGGATTTGGATCGTGTTATAAATCAGGTCTTGTTGGTTCCTTTGGTCATTTAGCCATTTTAATGACAGAGTTCGCCTCCATACAAGCAAATTTCTGCCAAAAACAATTCCCCTGACACTATGTTTCACAGCCGCTGCACTCTGGGCATGGCCCCACTCAACATGACATGATTGGTTTAAAGAAATACAAACAAGCCAGACCACGTTTTTTTACCTGTAGCAGAATAATGAGGTGCAATCAGACCATTCTCCAGTGCTGTAAAGGCACCGTCTCTGGCATTGTGAGACTAGTACATACAAGTAAATGCTCTATCTTACAAGTGAAAGGATAAAGTGTTGCAATATCACCATTTAAACCCAAAGTTACTTTGCTGTGTGCAAGTTTGTCAAGCCTCTGCTGTCTTGTTCTACCACATAAACAGCAGTTTGTAATTTTGACCTAAATATTTGCATCAGATGTCCCATCGTCCCCCAAGACGTCCCCTCCTCCTGGTCAGGCCCAGAAGCCCAACAGCTTCCTGTTTCGCATCTCCTCACGCAGCAACATCAAACCCACAGGTACACAGAGGACACAGTTCACACCTTTGTTCACCGTTTTGTCCAGGTTTAACAGTTCATTGTGCTATTATTCAGGGGCCGTCTCCAGTCTCAGTGAGTCTGGCAGGAGTGAGTCTCGCACGACACTGCGTTCACCCAAAGAGGAGAGACCAGACGTCACACAGCTACGCAAGGTAAACCACATGCACATCTTAAAAATATTGAAGTGGAAGTCAGGTCAGTCCCTGGATATGATATAGTTTCGTGTATTTATTATAGAATAAATATGTTTAATGTGAGCAATGAGCTTTAACATGAAGTCATCCAGAACATTTTTTGATAAAGACAAGTTTCCTCTTAGATCTCACCTTACAGTCCTGTTTGTTGTTGGTACATTCACTGAAAGCTGTTCAGTTAAATGAATACACTGTTTACTGTGGGAGTGTCCTGTTCAAGGCCTCAAGTTCTTGAAATCAAAACAGACAACAGTCCCACATATATAAATATTCAGTTTTAATAGATGTGTTAAAATATTTCTGCCATGCTTCCACACAAGTATCCAAAGCATTATTACTATGATAATCCTGGGTTTTAATTGGTATAAATACAGTATAAGGAGCTTTTCCATGCTGACAAGAACAAACAACACTGTGTCTCCCTCCTCAGACTCTGGAGTCTCGGCTGAAGATCACTCTGCCAGAGGACCTGGGTGAGGCTCTGTCCAACGGCACCGTCCTCTGCCAGCTGGTCAATCACATCAAACCGCGCTCCGTGTTAACCATCCACGTTCCCTCTCCAGCAGTGGTGAGTCCAGCAGCCATCAGTTTCCCTACTGGACAACAGTCGACACAAAAACTGCAAATTATGTTTCATTGCTTGTTTATTGGATAATCTCACTTCAGACTAGTATTTTTGGTAGAGTTATACTTTTAGTTCAAAAGCCGTGAGACCCCCCTCTATACAAATTATAACTATAGCTACATTACTCTTCCACCTGACCCACAAAAATCTGGAGACCCTTTGTGCCCACTTAGTTTGGGCAGGTAATAAAACAAGAATAGTGTTTATATTCCTGTTTTATTACCCAACAGTGAAATATTAGAAAATGACGGCAGCATTACTTGGTCTGGTACGACCAGAAGGTTATAGTGGCTATTATTAGCAAACCTTTGATAGCTGTATGACTGATGTAGTGAGAATGTTTGCTCTCTCTATGTGTGCCCTCTCTCCTTAGCTCTGATTCATTTCTTTACAACAATAGGTTCCAGTAAATCCAACTTACAAAAAACTTAAATGTGCCACCATGCTGTAATTATAAGAAGTAATGTTAGTTGGCACTATTTGGGAAAAGATTTTTTTTAAAGTGGAGATATTTTTAAAGACTTTAAAATTGTGTTACTAAGTAACAGTGGTATTTATGGAAAGCACTAACAAAAAAAAGTTTTGTCAAAGAATTAGTGCTGCTGAGATGTACATTTTGCATCAACATCAGAATAACAGCAGCAGATCAGAGGACACACTAAACAAATAGGAGAAACTGGCACTAGAAAGGGGCTGCAAGGTGGCTCAGTGGTTAGCACTGTATCTGGTTCGCGTCCCGGTGGGGGCACCAGGATCTTTCTGTGTGGAGTTTGCATTTTCTCCCGGTACAGGGTGGGTTCTCTCTGAGCTCTCCGGCTTACTCCCACACAGTCCAAAAACATGTTGAGGTTAACTGGTGATTCTAAATTGTCCATAGGTGTGAATGTGAGTGTGCTTGGTTGTCTGTCTCTGAGTGTAGCCCTGTGACAGACTGGTGACCAGAGTGTCCCCTGCCTTCGCCCTAAGTCTGGTGGGATAGACTCCAGCCCCCCATGGCCCTAGTGAGGAATAAGCATCCATCCATCCATTTTCTATACACCGCTTAATCCTCATTAGGGTCGCGGGGGGGCTGGAGCCTATCCCAGCCGACTTAGGGCGAAGGCAGGGGACACCCTGGACAGGTCACCAGTCTATCACAGGGCCACACTTAGAGACAGACAACCAAGCACACTCACATTCACACCTTCAGACAATTTAGAATCACCAATTAACCTCAACATGTTTTTGGACTGTGTGGGAGGAAGCCAGAGAACCCACGCTGCACGGGGAGAACATGCAAACTCCACGCAGAAAGATTCCGGTGCCCCCACCGGGACGCGAACCGGCAACCTTCTTGCTGCGAGGCAACAGTGCTACCAACTGCGCCACCTTGCAGCCCGAGGAATAAGCAGTGCATAGATAATGGATGGATGGATGGTACTAAAAGGCCAGCTACTCTGTGCAGATGAAGAGTGAAAGTTCAGTGTCCTAATCTCACCTAATAGTTGATGTGTGATATTTTGCTTTCAGCCAAAACTGAGCCCGGCAAAGTGTCAAAAAAATGTGGAAAGCTTCATTATTGCTTGTCGCAAGCTGGGAGTCCCTGAGGTAAAGACCGTCTCTCTTTCCTGTCTTTGTTGTGCATGTCATAGATGAGTTTGTATACGTTAAACAAGAAAATGAACTGTACCAATCCCAGTTGAGAACTTTCTATGTGCTGAGAGCTGAGTTGTGTTGCTGTTTGCATATGTATCCTGTCAGGACTGGACTGATGAGGCAGCTTCATACTGATTGGCAACAGATTTTCATCAAAAGCCAGTATCAGTCCAAGCCTAACTCTGCTTCGTGCCATTCTGCATTTTGTCTTTCTCTTATGTCAGAGTTTTAACAATGTAACTACTTGTATTTTCCTCCTCTTTATGTGTGTGTGTGTGTCCTGTCCAGACTGAAGTGTGTGCGTCCTCTGATGTGCTTCTGTGTAAGCTGCCCGCTGTGCTGCGCTGTGTGACGGCCCTGCTGGCCGTGAAGGGGGGGGAGACGGTGGAGGAAAGCTCGCCCCGCCACTCCTCACCTGCGTCTTCATCATCGTCCTCCTCCTCCTCTTCCTCCTCGCTGCTGTCCACAGACTTCCTGTTCTTCTACTGTGCAGCCATGGCGCTGCTCTACGTCCTCTACTGCTACCTGCTCACCTAAAGCAGCGGCACACAAAACACACGCGTTTATCTGCTCTATACACATACTGAACACACACGGAAATGTCACGGCCGGACACACACAGCTGCTCCTACAGCTGTCGTTGATACAGTGAGTGCAGTGTGTGTGCTCAGTATACATACTCTGACTGTAGAGCAGATTTATTAAGACCTGAGCTGCACTGGTTGGGCGTCAGAGACATGCAGCAGAGAACACTACAACGACGGGAACAACACCGTATGAGAGCAGATGAACAGTGAAATGCCTTAGCCTAGTTTAGCCTTCACTCATGTTTGGAGAAGACGGGAGGTTTTTGTCTGAAGCAGAGCTGCTCACTGTGCAGAAAGTCTGTCATTGGTTGAGATGTGAATGGGTGGAACAAAGGAACCACATTCTCTGTTGAATCTCCATCACATACTGTACTTTGCATTGCCTGCATACTTGGTGTATAGATGGAGGGTTCACATTAAACACGGTGACACTTGAGGTCAGTGTTTTGTTTGACAGCAGAAAAAGCACATGTTTTTATTCAGAGTCTGCTGCTGGCTTTACTGTGCAGAGTGATCATCTGCACTGTGTTAGTTTAGTGAAACTTAAAGCTGCGTTCGGTGAGATGTGTTTTTGTTGCTTTTTGGCTGCTTGGAAGCAGCACAATGGGCCATATTATCACCTTATAGAGTTGATTTGTTGAAGATGTTGCACACGCTTCCTTAATTACACACCCAGCAGACACTGAGCATCCTCATTCATTTGGAACTGTGAAACTGGGAGTCCTTTTAACTCTGTTTTTTTTTTTAACTTTCTAAGCTAATGTTCAGGAACTTTTTTAAGTGGTAGAAGTTCCTCCAGATGATTGTGATTTGTGTTTCCACAGCGGGGCCATGGTTCCAGGGAGAAAACCTAAATTAGTCTGCTGATGTATCAACAGCAGGACAGACTGAGATTCCCTCTGAATGTGCAGAAACAAGAGTTTGTTGGTCCATCTGTCCTAGAATGTTTTGTTCCATCCATGCAGCTACAAACTCCAAGCAAAACAACCTAATTGCAGTTGCGGGTTTTATTGTTGATGGCAATGTTTAAGAGAAGAATGCTTGGGGGAGGACAAGAAAAACAGGAAATGCTGCTTGTTGTCTTCTCTAAGTTCATCCAATCAGAATTGAGACCTGCACAGCTGCTTCTCATGGCTGCTTCAGAGTACCTATGTGGGAGTAGGTGCTGTCTCCCTTGAAACAGAAAAGTTCCTGCACATAAAAAAAAAAAAAAAATGCTCTCACGCTACCCCCTTTGTGGGTCTTTCACCCTCCAAATTATTATAGATGCTGTGAAAACACAGGTAGGAGAACAAAGCTCCTCAAAAAGTTCCTGAGGTTGCAATGCACCTTAAGTTTTACAGCTAGCTGCAGACTGTCTGCAGTTTGATGCTGAGCAGGTGGTGTACAGTGGATTCATCCGAGCGTTTTCACTGAAAACAGCTGCCTGCTGCTGAAGCAAGCACAACTGATGAGTGCTGAGCGTGAACAAAACATTAAAGGGCTGTAAAACCAAAAATAATGAGCTAATAGGCGCAACAAACGCTGTGGAGCTGACGGCCACAGTTGGGTGATGAGGCGCCGCTGATGCCAGCAGCACTTTTCACTTTCTACACAGTCATTTAGCCAGTGGTAATATTAAAGTATTGATCAGGGCAGCTTTACGGCTCAGTTCTGTCTCCGTGTTAATTACATTTACACAGAGAAAATGACAAATACTTGGACTCAGAATGCAGAATGCAGCTGGACTAGAATTGCAGAGTTTTTAAGTGTGTTGCAGAAATATGAATTTAAAGGAGCCTGTTGGTTCCGTTGGTTATGATAATGTTGTACTCACCAAGTTAAAAGCTGTTATCTGGGAGTGAGTAGAGACACGATGAGGCTGGTTCTGAACACGGTTCTGTGGAAGAGAAAATAAAGGGCAACAGTAACAGTCTGATTTGACTCACATTAGTCATAGATGGAGTGTTTATACAGAGACTGTGGTTCTTAAAGGTTTGGACTCAACCACTGAGATTGTTTGTGCCTAAAGCAGAGCTCTGTAAACAGACCTGAGAGACAGGAGCTGGGGAAGTTTCCTGAGACTGAACTGTGAATGTGGAATGTGATTTTTTTTGTTTTGTTTAGCTTGAGACAGATGCAAGTTCATTAAATATGGAGCCAGGATGTTAAGTGATGCTGTTTGTCGTACAACAGTGCTAGTGAGAGCTGAAACAGTGCCTGTTACTGAACACTGACCACTTGTTTTCTGTGTGCTGTGCTGACTGGGAGCAGCAGGGGGCGATGTCGCTGCATCAGTCCCTCAGACCGACGGTACAAACCCCTGCAGGAGCTTGTGTGTGTGTAAAGTCTTTTTGTTGTCTCTGGTCTGTCTGACCGGCTTACTTCATGTTTGTATAAATGTACACAGGTTATTAAATTATTGCTTTTTTAAAATTTTTATTTATTTTGAACTCTATTCTGTTCTATTTTTGGTTGTTTTTGTTTCTGTGGCGAGACAGCAGAGGCTTGACTAATTTAGTTAAACCTCTTAGCCAATAGTTTTAAAGCCTCATAAAGCTTTGTGAAATCAGTGTGCGCGCTTTAAATCACACACACGGGTAAATTAAATGTAATCAATATTCAATTATTCCAAGTGAAAATAACATTGACCGTTTAAAAGTTTCCCTCTTTATTGGATTGCTAAATCTCTGATTCCCTCGAGGCTACGCGTTTAACAGAGCATCAGACGGCCTCTGCTGTTTCTACCACATGCTGTGTCTGGCTTACTGCTCATAGAAGGTCAATGTCTGCAACTAAACACAGATTAAATTCTCATTACCATGCTTATTTGACTGATGTGAGGGCTTGAAAGCTAATATCAGGAGTGAGATTTGGGGGATTCAGGCTGCTAAAGCCCTGCAAATCCAGAACATTCAGCATTTCTGAACAGAATGTTAACTTCTCAACTCTAAAAGTGCACTACAACTCAAAGCAATGAACTAATTAAGAGGTTTGACCAACATACTGTAAACTCGAAAAGTAAAAATAGTACAGGGAGATCAAGTGACTCCAAATCATGTTGTCCTTTTTTTTTTTTTTTAAATGTCCTCATATCAACAAACCCACTGGCGCCTCAAACTGTTTAAACGGGAAAATAATCATATGAGGAATTGATTGTGTAGAATATATAAATGCCCAATAATTTGTCTTTATCAAAACTAAACTCATTGTTGTTAAATCATTCCAACCAGGGCGACACAATGCATAGTTTCAGCATCAACAATGCAGGAAGGCAAATGAACTTCAACACCTCATACTACAACTTTTGCAGTTTGATACAAACAGAAAACTAGTGCAGCGTTTTCCAAAACTCATCTACACGAGAAGTCTGATAGATACATAACTTACTCTGCCTTTGCCAGTGTTTCACCACATGTCAGCTTCTTGTAAGTTATTTTTTATTTCTATGCAGATGCACTCTCCTACAAATCAGCCCAATTATTCGAGAATGATTCATTCTTTCCAAATTGAATTTTTTAAGCAATTTGGTGAAAATTCCAGAAAAACTAAATATTCTATTGCCAGTTTTTCTCTAGTATTGTGCAGCCCTAATTCCAATTTTCTAATTTTAATTGGAGTTAATTTTTAAATGTGACCCATGATGATGAAATTAGCATTGCGGCACTTTTCATGACAGTGCTGTTTATACATTTACCCCGCCTTTGTACGAGCTCAACAGATTTAGCCAGTTAGCTCAAGCAACATCATTTAGTTGCAATTGCAAGAGTAATTGTTAATATGAAAGTAAGAACAGTGAAATATACCATCAGAGAGCAATGAGTTATAAATGATTTAGCTACGTGGCTCATGTATATATTTTACACAATATATTCATGATTATTTCCTAATGTGTGTTTTATTTATTTAATATTTCACACTATTGGGCATCAAATTCCAAAAGCCATTCTGTTAAAATTGCAATACAGATTTATTGACTTATGTAACAAGGTTTTCTTTTAGTACACTGGTTATATTGTCCGTCCTCAGTTTCCTGTCCACACATCTGTACTGTTGTCTAGAGGTCCGAATGTCCACTCGCTCCCTGTGTCTGACGGTTTTTCTTATTAGCCTGCTGTTGAGATGAACTTTATACTGTTTCAATCCAAATGTATATTTTATAAGTGAAACTGGATAAGCAACACACAGTAATTCATTCACTGGCTTAGAACAAGCTATATTCGTAAATATGTTAGTGGAACAGAAATACTGTTGTATTTTATATTTATATAATACTCTTGTATTATTAAGAATGGTTTTTGAGTTTATATAAATCTATATGTAAAGTTTTTTTTTCTTCTTCCCGCTGTAAAGAAATTATTAAAAATGCAACTTTGACTCTGTTGTTTGTCTGCTTGCCCGCTGTTGTGCTTTTGCTTAATCGAATATGAACTTTAATGTGATCAGGGTATCTGCCGCCACAATGTTTTTGAAAAAGTTGACATTTATTTGATTATTACTACAATTTAAAAGGTGACTGGTGATATTCTGTATTATTCATGCGTCAGATCACACGTGCAGAGACAATCCAACTGTGATTGTATCCAGTAAGTGCTGTGAATCAAAGCCTCATATTATTCAATGAGGAGGACACTTAAAAAGACAGTTTGAAAACACTTCTGCTGAAACCTTTGTGGCCTCATTCTGACCTCATTCTTGACCTCTGTAGCCATTATGGAAAACACGGTCAAACACTCCTTAAACTAGTTTTTTTTATTGCTTTAGTAAAGGTCGTATGTTTTAATTCCAAACTCACTCTTTGTCAAGTACAAAGAAATCACAGTTGTTTGATTTCCTGCAAACACACTGTAAATATTGAAGCTCTGCATGTGAGAGAAGTTTTCTTACAATAGGAGCTGCACATTTTGAACCCAGACTGACTCTTCTTGGCAGTGCTGTCAGTCCTTTGGGGCGGCAGAAATCTCAGTTCTACACATAGATTTTTTCTTTAACTCAGCACCTTGATAAGATATTCAGAGTTTTGCACATCGATTCAAAAGGAGAAACTGCCACAGTCACTGAGAAGCTCAGTGAGTCACTCTGAGCAAGATGAGACTTGCGCTTCATCTAAAGTGTTTTCAAACAGTGTGTTTTGGTTCCCACACAGTCCCGGCGGGGGCTCGGCCTGATGCTGAGAGCCACAGAGAGGCTACTGATGCTGATCAGTGCTGAGAGATGGACTAACTCTGTTGGCTTTGGTCTCCATGTGGGAGCTTTTGACAATAAGAAAAATGCAGAATAACACCAGACATATTAACATTAAGCAGCTCACTGATGTGGCAAACTTGGTCCTTTCACACTGATTCGATCTTAAAGTCAGTTCCACAACACATACAGACTTTGTGAAGCGAGGTGGATGTGTGAGTGGGCGTGCAGATACCCTGATGTGAATCCTCTCCTGCCCTGTGCTTTAACCTCCTCCAAAGCTTCCTGTGCGCTCTCCAAGCAGCAGGTTTACCATCATAAATTCCAGCTGGCCTGTGTCGGAGCAGGTGAGTGTGCCGAGCCAAGGTCAGCGAGAAGGAAGAAATCAGCCTTTAGGTTTGTACCACGCTGCTGATGAGCAGGGCGCTCAATAAACTGTGCTGTCGACCTGCAGCCTGCCTGCTGCTCGCACACATCAGTGCGGAGGGGAGGGCGGAACGTCAAGTTCTGCATTATCTACACTGTGTCTATAGAGTTTCGGGTTGACCAGTTAATCAAATAATCAAGACAAAGTCGGCAGCACTGATTATATAGTATAGATGGAATCACTTCTTAGACACATACCGGGAAATGTTGCTTTTCATGGCTGACAGCGTTCTTCTACTGGGTGCTTTCAGGGGTCACAGAGAACAATCCAGGGGCCCGTCTGTGAAAAAAAAAAAAAAAGAATCTCAGCTGCACACAAGCCACACAGGAGGGACTTTAAATCTATTCAGATTTGTTTAAAACTAACAGGGCAGGATAAGATAAAGTAACATCACTGCAATTATTGGATTAACCTCTGTGGATGCTCCCTCTCATATCTTTGGTACCTTGTTTTCCTGGAGGCGTCCCTGAACATTAATCTGTACACGGCATCAGGCTTTAGTCTGTGAGCTTCGCCACGTAAGATCAGCTCAACTCCACTCGAGGATAATAATGGAAACCTCTGAACGGTGGTCACTATAATAATCAAAATGCCAACTGGGCCTGTGTTCGTCTGTGCACATCATCGTTAATGACATTAAGTGTTAATTAAGAAGCTCTCATATTGACATAGTTTTTGATTGGCCTCTATACGACAACAGTCTAACAGAATTCCTGAAATCCAGCCCTTTCAGACTTTAGGAAAACAAAAAGAATCTGAAGACAGGCTGTTCGTGTCACACGCTGAAAAAACATGCAAGACTGAGAATATTTACCAAAACACATTTTTTACTGGATGGGGATCTTAAAATCTGTTTCACACTTCAGTCACTTCATTCTACGAAGGATTTTTGGCCGATTTTATCCAACCAAATTTGTTTCAGGAAGTTGAATTTAGCTAGAAATTACAACCTTTGACTTAATATTGCATTATTAGTGGTGAAGGTCATTTAGGCACCATGTCTACGATGAAAACTCACTGACGCGTGTTCACACTAACCTACAGGTATTTAAATGACTAACCATCATACACACCTGCAGGATTCATGACCACATGTTTTACGTGAAAGAGACACTTCATTAGAAGTCAGATCAGAGACTTGTGTAGTTCATTAAACATCATAGCTTTCCTGCTTTACAACATAAGTGAGTATGTGGTTGTTTTTATTTCGATCCGCCTGGCTGCTTGTTCCAAAGGAAAGTGGTAGTAAGTCTGATTTAATGGGTTTTCATTTCAAGCCTGGAGGCAATAAACACTCCAACGTTTGACAGGGTGTATGGATGCATCTGGTATCCACTGTATATGAGATTGAAATGACATGCTTTGCTACAGAATGCCGCTGAGCCTGTCTTATAAATGTGTTAACTCTTTAACTCCCTGGCGCCCTCTGTATCCACACATCAGGAGCACTTGTGTGACATTTTGCAGATTGTAGCTTACTTCATCACCAATCGTGACAATTCCCTGTGACCATACACCCGAGAGTGCTAGAGGCAGAGGTAGCCCAGTACAGAGGAAATAGGCTTAATTTCTAGGAAGCACAATGGGAGTTTGTAAAGATGAACATAAGAGAATGTAAAATTTTGTGCAGTTCAAATCTGTTCGTAGCATCTGACAGATTATTCTGATGGGTTGAGGCTGCAGGGCGCTTTGTGCACCGGACACAGTGGCTTTAAACAGGCTCAAGTTGTTTCTACATCACTGACCTGGAGCTTTACAGCTAATGTAGCAAAATGTAGTAAGAGACATCACTTAAAGCTAGGGTTAGCAGTATTAGGCAAAAAAATGTCATGTAAACCGTTTAAGTATAAGAGAGGAAATGAGACTTCTGCGCCTACTCATGGCTGTTTTCAGGATTTAAAAAATCTGGCGACTTCAGCCAATCACAAGGCAAGAGAATTTTAATCTTCAGGATAGTCTCTCATAGCCTATCTCCAGAGAGCTGTCAGTGCTGGCTTGTTTGTGTTTCTTAAACCAAGCATGATCATCTTGGTGCTAAACCCAGGATGCAGATCCAGTAACATGCAGATACTAAAAGACAGAGGAGAGAGCTGTGTAAAATACGCAGAGGAAATGGAAGACTTATGTCCGAAGTCTACATCTGGTGAGTCAGACTACTTCAAGCATGACTATTTTGGTACGTTTGAAGCATGTGCATGTGCTCATACTCATGTGACAGAGAGGGAGGAAGTGCAGGAGAAGGGCTTTATTTGTTTCCCACTGCAGTTTAAAAGTCAGATCACTGACTTTATGCTGCATTTATCACCCACGCTGATCCTGAAGGTATCAACTGAGGCCATGGTGTCGTGTGCAGTGCTAGTTACTGTCCTGCTGTCAGGACAAACTGATTTACAGTGTAGTTAATTGTAGTAAAGCTCTGCACAAGTACTGGAAACAAATTCATCGACCAACCAGGGCTGGATGGTCACTCAGCCGCTTCACCAGGGGCCTCAAACATCCAATAAAAATGTACATTTATTAGGGAATTTGCAGCACTAAATTACTCACCGGTCATGTAAAGAACCCTGTTCAAAACAGTTTGAAGATCTTTTATTGTTGTTATTGTTATTATTCCTAATTCAGACTTTGATTAATGCAGTTGGAATAAGTATGTATCACAATTTAGATCAGGCTTCAGAACTAAACTCAGGATAATACGAAATCATCTTGATTCTTAAACCATTCTTCAGATTTTATCTCTACTGCATGTTTTTTTTTTTTTTTCCACCCTGTTACTTTCTGTAACCTTCTAGTTCTTTATTTTCTGCTTTCCCTAATTCTTTTCTTTTTGTTTGTCTCTAACATACAGTGCATATGTCCTTTTGATCTTTTTGTTGCTGTATAGCATTCTTGTTCCACATTAAAATTTAAATCCCTCCAGAAATGCAACACCTTAAACACCAACAACTGCGTCTGCCTGCAGTTGTCCCAAGACTCCACAAGGCTCTGCATGTTGCACTTTTACTGACTGTGTCTGCTATGGATAGTATTATTAAAGATCCTTGAATCTATTTTTTCACAGTTAGCTCCTTAAAGCTCCAACATGAACACGAGCTCGTCCGTTAAAACAAATGTTGGTTTTCCTCAAGAGAGATTTCTCCTCTTTATTCTTTATGTGCTGTAAAGTGGGAGGGGATACTCCGATCAGAATGTTGCTCATGTTGCCGGCACTGTCAGTCAAATGTAGTCAAACCACACCCACACGGTCCTGACGGAGCATATTAGTGGAGTTTTTGACAGTTATTAATAAATAATAAGTATGGATATTTATCTTCGGCTTTAGCTTTGATGCTGCCAAGTTAGTAAGGAATATTTAATGTTGTGGAAGAACCACGTTTTCAGGGAATTTAAACCTGGAGGTATATGTAAGCTTAATATTTTACATCTTGAAAGGTGAACAATTTACAGTGAAAAGGATGTGCTGTATGTTTCTTACTTGTATCTACTCACACCTCTTTCCTTCATTTCCCAGGACACCTTGTGTTCCCCTCAGCTCATCATGGAGGACGAGGGGCTGAGTCGGCTGGCCCAGACGGTCCAGGTATTGATCGACTTGGCGGACGGCTCCCAGCGGGCCCTGAAACAGGAAACACTGGTGGCTGTTGACTCAGCACAGAGCTAGCGCCACAAAGCTGCATCTGCAAAGATTCTGCACCAAAGAGATCCATCTGAGGGCTGGTGTTTGTTTCAACATGCTTCATGTTTGACTTGTTTATTATTACATTGA